CCCCCCCCCCCCCCCCCCCCCCCCCCCCCGCCAAGGGCTACAATAGCCACACCTCTCATGAGCGATGTGTTGAGCACTAGCTGCGGCGTCCAACGCCGACAGCGGTAACAACGACAAGTAACCGCCTTTTGATGTTGATTTTCTTTCCAAGCATTTCTTTGTTGCTTTTTCCTCTCGGCATTTTTCCCAAGGGCCGCAACAGCCATACCTGTTATCCCCAGCGCCTTCAAAAACCACCACCACAACCAACAACAGCACCCTCTTCACCGTCCCCGTTTTTGGTTTGTTTCTTCTATCGGGAATCCCCCCCCCCAAGGGCAACAACAGCCACATCTGCGAGGACGGAGAGCCCTGCCAGTGTAGCAACGACGACTGGGACTGCTACCGCCCGGCGCAGCAGAATGTGAGGCTCGTCCCAACACTTTGTAACAGATGGGGAGCATTTTTTTTTTATTGTATTGTTGTCTTGTGTTGACTTGTATTGTGATGTCTTGTTTTGTATTGTATTGCGTTGTGTTTTTTTTGTGCAATGTTTTGTTGTTTCGTGTCTTTGATGTGTGTCGCATTTTTTTTTCCTGTTTTGTGGACGTCATCTATAGAGTTGTAGTTCCATGTTAGAGTGACTACTCTAGTAGGCCTTTCCCGCTCTATCTGTTGTTTCGGCATTCGTTCTGTTTCTCGTTTGTTCGTTGTGGTCGGCGACCCCAGGGTTAGGACATGGTGCAGTTGCTGTTGTCCAAGACACACACCTCTGCACACGTGACCTATTTGCTTCAAGCGTTCCGTCCCGTCGTGGTTTACAAGATCGCGGATTAAGATAGATCCCCCCTCCACTCTCTACGCCGGGTTCATTCCACTCGGCAGTTTGTCAAAAGGTCGTTGGGACCGCCTCCGCGAGACTGTTCAGTTTTATGAGGAACTAGAAGAGGGAGGGGATACCCAGACCCTATCCCCTAACCTTAACCCATCTTCCCCGATTGTATACTACGCTTTATCCGACACGTTTACTGCATCGAAAAACCGTGCGAAGGCCTCTGTATTGTTGGGTGTTTCGGCGTATGACCACGGGAGGAAGGCATTTTTCTGTCGGTTGGACCAGTACGGTACGGGTTCTACAAGTACTTAAAAGTGGAGACCGGAACGCTTTTTGGTATGAAGACAGCAGCAGCAACAACAACAATATCATCGACTACAACAACAACAATCGTCGTTCCCCGCGCGTTCCTAAACCCGCGTCTATATATACGTATATTCGGATCACTCTCACGTACTTGCGTGATGCTGGTTTGATATAGCTTCCGATCCACGCTTTGAAAGCCCCCGGTTGATCTGTTTTTTTGGCTACGGCGGCACCGTGCGCACCACGTTGTCCCTTTTCGCAACCACGCATTTTCTTGTGAGATAGCTCATGAGCCAGCTTTCGAAACCCCCCGGCTGATCTGTTTTGTTGTCGCCGGCCGCACTGTACGCACCACGTCGTCCCTTTTCGCGACGGTCAAATAGCTCCTGAGCCAGGTTTCGAAGGCCCCCGGCTGCTCGGTGATTCTCACGGGCGACTACCACTACGGGGACATCAAGGCCTTGCTCCCCGGGGGGGAAACGCCGTACTGGGAGTGGTACTCCAGTGAGGGCAACGACTTCCCGGTCTACCAGGTGTTGTTCTTGTTGTTGTCGTGGATCTTGACAAAGGTGGTGGTGATGTCGGTTTTGTGGTCGTTGTTGTTGTGTTGCTGGTGTTGTCGTTGTTGTTGGTGCTGTCGTGGCTATTGGTTATAGGGTTGTTGTTGTTGTTGTTGTTTGCTGTTTTCCGAAGCCAAATGCAAAGGCTGCACGTCATTATTTCCTTGTCGGCAAAAAAAAACACGCCGTAAGCGAAACGGCGAGGGTTGTGCTCGCATTGTTTGCGCCGATGAAAAGTTATCTAGAGTTCCAACATGCACACGACTGCTACAACAGCTAGGCTAGCGGGGAAGAATGCCAACCCGGAGGAACAATAGTCTGTAAACAAGGTGTTTGCGAGGCAAAAGAGGAGACTTGCACGCGTGGTGGTGATGGCGCAATGTGTGAATGCCAACCCGGAAGAAAGAGCTCACTGGTAAGGTGAAAAGAGAGAGAGGACCACTTGCAGTGCTCTTTGTTTTGTACGTACACACAAATGTGTATGCGCTCAAATGTGTACGCGCTCTACATAGACGTGATCAGGGCTCATTGACGACGTCCTGAGCATTCTACGAAAATGCAGGTGATGGCGTCGGGCATGACGACTTCGACAGCGGAGAGGAATCGGTCTTGCGACACGTTTTACCTAGATGACGTTGGTCTCCGGACTCACCCAGAGTGCGACCTGGTACAGGACCCCAACTTCGGTCTTCTGCAGGTGAGGCAAAGACTGTTGTTGTTGTTGTTGTTGTTGTTGTTGTTGTTGCGGTTGTGGTGGTGGTGGTGGTGGTGCCGTTGCTGGTGCCGTTGCTGGTGCGGTCGTTGTCGCTGTCGTTGTCGTCAAGTGAATTGCCGTGTTTTCGTCTCCAAACGCGTGGTTCGTTTTCCCCTGTATTTTTTCTAGCGCAGTCCGCCCTTGGGAGGAGTATGTCGGGCGGCCAGTGATGTACTATTCTTCTCTCGGTGTGTGTAATTGTGCGTCGCTAGGCCGAGGACCAATCGTCTTGAGCATTGAAACTATGACGGGCATATTTGGTCCAGAAAAGATACCCAGAGTACAAGACCCAGAAATGGGCATAAACCGATCATGAAGACAGCATGAAAGCACGCTTTCGAGCTAAAATGAACGAAACAGTAAGCTCATGCTAGATACTTGTTTTCCCGAGCGAAACTGCGAAAATGGCCGAAATGAAAGCGTATGCTTGCCGATTTTTTTTTTATGTCCGTCTCGTCGGAGCAGGTGGGTTTCGAGGACGGTACCGAGGGATTCTCCAGCCTGGAGATGCAGATCAGGGACTGGAACGGGACCGTGAGGGTATCCGCATCGCTTTCGCCAGGTCTGTGTGCAGGGTTTTGACACCGATCTCCTACATGGAACTTTACTTCTGTGGAAATCTTAACCACTTCCAAGGAAGGAATATTACCTACGTGGAGGGGTAGCTAGCTACGTTGGCCTGTTCGGTAGCTTCCTACCATGGTATTTACCTCAACGAAACGTTTCGGTCTCTTCTCTGACCCGCGTCGTCCGCGTCGTCCGCGTCGTTTCCTGTGTCCGTGGCACCTTCTACGTTAGTTGTGCCGACCCTTTGGTCCACTTTTTCGACGACAATTAGCAAAAACTATTTCTCGATGTGATGAGCTTATAGCGGTAGCGCGTCGGGCTCAGCCGCTTCGGAAATCTGACCGCAGGTGCTTTACTGAGAAGCAAAAACCTCTACATGCGAGAGGCGGAACAACGCTGATCGCTGTGACATGACCCTCGGAACGATGAAAATACGTCGTTCAGTTCGTTACTTCTGGCTGACTCCAAGGCCAGGTTTTGATGGCGAAGATGAGAGTGAGAGAGAACGGCGCGCTGGCCATCTCTCATCACCAGAAACCATAATATCAATATATTCTACTGTTTCAGACCCCGAATAACTAACCGCGTTGAGGTTCCCTCGAGAACTTTTCTGACCTTACTCTGACAACCCTGTACGGGAACGTGTCACACAGCGTGTGGTCCCTGCTCCACAAAACTGCTCCGTGGCTGCTAGCTACTGCTGATTTGCTGGGACATGAGCCCATTCCATAGGGATCCCTTGTATTGAGGGCGAACTTGTTGGACGGGGGGTGTTTTTCACAGAGGAAGACGACAACGCCACTCAGACCCTTCGAAACAGCGCTGTGCGCCTTTTTTCCCCCCGGTGGTGACGTTTTTATTTATTGTTCTGGGCAGACATGTGCAACCCCAGGCAGACGTCGACGACCTGAGCACAACCGTGATGGCCATCATTGCCACCGTCATCGTCAACTTCGCTGCAGCCTTCGGGGGGGATGGGAAAAAAAATGAAGCCGAAAATTGGAGTTTTTCTTGGCAAAAATACCCAGCCTGGCGGTCCTCTCTTAAGAGCCGCAGGAATGTAGTTGGACGTCACCCTGTCAACGAAATTGTAGGCTTGGTCGACAACGTCTCTTGTAACGGGGGAAACGCATAACAGTAGACGGGTGGACGTCACCTGTCAAGAAGAAACAGGCTTGGGGCGACAACATCTCTTGAAACCGCAGAAATGTTCAAAAGTCTGTGGATGGGCGTCGGCCGAGAAAGAGGCTTGGGGAGAAGGTGTGGTTGCAAAAGGTTTGCATTCGTTCTTGCTTGTTGCGGCGTGAGTGTAGTATTGTGCTTCTCCGTCAGTGTGGCCTGTTTCTGCTTGCCATCGTAGCAGTCTTTATCGTCGAGTGATGTGGCGGCGAAACACGCTTTAATTATTCCATTCTTTTTGTTTGTTCTTCCGATTACGTTGGCGCTTTCAAGTTTCAAGCCTGCCGTTTTTCCTTGAGCAGAGGTGTCCTATTTTTGCGCTGAGCCCGCTCATCCCCATGTATGCACTTGGCAAGGCGCGCGCGATAGGGTGATATGATCATCGTCTCGTTTCTGGAATGCGCCTCTGTGACGGTTTTCATGCCGATGACGGCTGGGGAGTGTAGTCCTGTTTGGGGAAGAGCGGAAGCTCTCCTCTGAGCTTACCCGAGGATGCAGCCTGTTGTAAACAGGGAGCACCAACACGTGTACGATGTGCTTTTGGTAATTGGTGTCGCAGCTTGCCTCGGGCAACCGTGCTGGTCCTCCAAGAGGTTTCCGTTTTTATTTATAGGTGGTGTAGAGAACAGTGAAGGGATGAAGATTTGCACAATAGTAGTGTAATGAATCTTGTAGCATCCTTGGGACGACGGTCAGGGCAAGAAAAGCGCGTAAAGTATATGCATAGTTTGGATGAACAACGCCTAATACTCAGTCTGATGTAGAGGGAACAGACGAGGATAAGATTTGCGGTGCTGCGTGCAAAACTACTCAAATTGGGTTGTTACGGAATTGGATAACAACAGATGTGACAACCAGCATGCCTTGGACTTCGGGAACGCGCGTTTTCCATGTCTTCGCACGTATCGAGTGCAAGACTGTCCACACACCACACCCAAACCTGATAGTGTCGGAGCCAAAGACGGAGATCATGTGCATGCTGCCGAAAGGGATCAAGGAACGCCCTTTCACGGTCAGCGCCGCCGGCCAGACGTACAAGCAGACAGATCGGTTTGTGTACCTCGAACGTATCATCTCCGCGGACGGGAAGGCCGACCGGGAAATCACGAGCCGCAGCTGCCGAGCGTGGAAGTGCTACCGCCGGAACAGTGCTTCGATGTACGACAGGCGACGGGCCAACCGCCAGCTCAAGATCCGGCTACTTCAGTCTGAAGTGGTGGAGACTCTCCTGTATGGGTGCGCCTCGTGGAGCCTAACAGCGGACCACTACACGAAGCTCAATGGGACCCACCGCCAGTTCCTCACACGGTGCATCGGCTGGAGCAAGCGGAAACGCTCAGACCGCCCCCTGTCCTATGCCCAGGCCCTCATCCAGGCAGGCTGCGAGGAAACCATCGAGGCCACCGTGCGCAAACGGAGACTGTGTTTCGCGGGCTTCGTTATGCGCATGGAGGACAACCGCCTCCCCAAGCGCATGCTGCTAGGAGCGATGGGGGGGGGCGTGGGATCCCGGGGCGGGCAGGAGAGCGACTGGGTGTCTTGTCTAGGAGAGGACCTCGTGGCCTTCAACATGGGAGACGAAAAGGAAGGGGGGAAATGGAAAGAGAGCGCCAAGGACCCGGAGGTGTGGTACAACAAGGTCGAGGACGGGGTGGCATGCCTCATGAGGGAATGGCACAGGCACGAGGCGGAAGCGTCCGTGAAGCGCCAGCGCGAGGGAAGCAGAAGCAGAGAGTACGGCCATCTCAGGACCGCAGGGAAAGAGAATCGGGGAAGCGGCGGTGGGGAGGTGTACTCATAGTCGTGCATGCCGTAGTCATTAGACCATTGACCTCGCATCCCTACAAGGCCGGGACGGAGCGCGCAGGTTCTCACCGGACCAGGCTCTCACATCACCAAGCGCGAAGCGCCGTTGAGATATTCGGCGAGTCGCATGAAGGGTGCGCTGCATCCTGCTAAGGGTGTTCGGCATCTTGTGCTTACTTCCTTGCGTACGGATGACAGCTGCGTATGAATTAATTTATTTTCTGGTGCTTTCACTTCCAGAGACAGTTGTAAGCACTGTGTAACTGCCTCGAGGGTGCTTGACCATTTTAACACAACGTGGTGCGATCATCCCCCTTGCGCGGAGTGAGGGTTCTCCACCCCGCACAACATGATCTACTCGACCACCATCAGGTTACCGCCAAAAAAAAAACAGAGGTAATTAGAAAAACGGTAACCTGGTTGCCGAGTTCACGAAGTGAATTGGCTTGTTTTACAACGTCTTTGCCAAGCGACGAAAACCCAATCCCGATGGCAAACACAGAGGGGGCGGCTTGTTTTACAATGTCGTTGCCAAGCGACAAAAACCCAGCCCCGATGGCAAACACTGGGGGGGGCGACGGCGGTGGGGGGGAAGAAACGGCGACCGGGCACTGCTGTAGAAGCGAGTAGGGCGGCCGAGGCAGCACTTGTGGCGAACTATGTACCCGGCTGATGTTGTTGCGCCCTGTTTCCCTCCCTGCTGTATGCTATACTCCTTTATGTATGTCCTTTGTATTGCCTTCGGCCTCTGTGCTGTGTTTCTTTTTTTCATGACCTCCCTGCCTACTCTGCTGTGTTGGGTACCTTGATCTCGCTTTGCTGTTGCCTTTGTTTTTGTACGTCTGGCTGTCTGCCCATCTGCCGCCTCTTTGCCCATCTGCCGCCTCTTTGCTGCAGAGCCAGAGTGGATAGGCCAATCTCACCAAGGAGTAAAACAACCGTGTACTTTTAGAAGTACCAGCCAAAGTAATTCACGCACAAATAGTGATGAACATGAAATTACTGCAGAACCAGCGCTATTGGATCCCTCTAACCAAGGAGGACAACCGTGTGCTAGACTTGAACAAGTGAGAGAAAAAGATTCCCGTAACACGGTAGAAGAGAATAGACCCGGCGTGAACGCTGGAGAAGACCCCCGTAACAAGGGAGAAGCAGACCCCTCGCACCAGGGAGAAGATCGCAAGAGTGCTAGACCCAATACGTGTATTGGAGACAAAGATAGAGAAAGACCCAGCGCGAAAACTGGAGAAGACCTCCGTAACAAGGAAGAAGCAGACCCCTCGCACCAGGGAGAAGATCGCAAGAGTGCTAGACCCAATACGTGTATTGGAGACAAAGACAGAGAAGGACCTAGTGGGAACACTAGAGAAGACCCCTGTAACAACGGAGAAACGGACCCGCACGAGGGAGAACAGCGCAAGAGTGCTAGACGCAATACGTGTATTGGAGACAAAGATAGAGAAAGACCCAGCGCGAAAACTGGAGAAGACCTCCGTAACAAGGAAGAAGCAGACCCCTCGCACCAGGGAGAAGATCGCAAGAGTGCTAGACCCAATACGTGTATTGGAGACAAAGATAGAGAAAGACCCAGCGCGAAAACTGGAGAAGACCTCCGTAACAAGGAAGAAGCAGACCCCTCGCACGAGGGAGAAGATCCCAAGAGTGCTCAGCACAAGACGTGTATTGGAAACAAAGACCCCTACGGCAAGAGGGACACGGATAGTGACGGGTCGGCAGCCTTGCCACCTTCTTATGGGAAGCTACTGGCTGAAATGTGGAGAGAACAAAAGGAATGCCTAGTACGTGGCCCACGAATTGACGAAAAACAGGAAATCATCCACGAACTTGCGAAGGCCGGTAGCATGCTTCTGAAAACGAACGACGGAAAGTTGGGAGATGTCGCGAGGGCAATCGGCGGCACCTGGGTGTCACCGCCGCTAAACCTGAGCGACCTCGAACAACACTTCGGGACCAAAAAACGCTTCCCAGACTTAACGAATCTCGTAGACATCATAGACAACGGTGTGCCAGCGAAAACACACGACAGCCCGCCAAACCTCGAGATCGCTCTGCGATACGGAAATCACAGTACGATAGACGCCCACATGAAACTGGGGTGGAAGAAGCTGATAGACGACGTCGAACAGAACAGATGCCTCGTATTCANGGGTGTCACCGCCGCTAAACCTGAGCGACCTCGAACAACACTTCGGGACCAAAAAACGCTTCCCAGACATAACGAATCTCGTAGACATCATAGACAACGGTGTGCCAGCGAAAACACACGACAGCCCGCCAAACCTCGAGATCGCTCTGCGATACGGAAATCACAGTACGATAGACGCCCACATGGAACTGGTGTGGAAGAAGCTGATAGACGACGTCGAACAGAACAGATGCCTCGTATTCAACGTAGCGGACGCATGTTGGATGAAGGGCGTACGCCTCTCGCCGCTAGGAGCAGTGGTAGGAAAAAAAATCAGAATCATCAACGATTTTTCTTTTGACCCCAAGCTGCTGCGCGGACAGAAGGGAGGAGTCGACGTCGGTACGGTATCGGAAGAAGTACCCGACTGTTTGTGCGGAGAGACTCCACCTGCTTTCCTTTGTGAAATAACGCGCTTGAGAGTCAAATGGCCTGACAAGAGGATACAAGTGTCCACGGCGGACGTGAACAACGCTTACCGAAACGTGAGAGTTGCGCCAGACGATGCACAAAAATTCTGCTATGTGATAGGAGACGTACTAGTCGCCGACTTCAGACTGACGTTTGGATGGGCAGGTTCGCCCGGTTTTTGGGGAGTCATGGCGTCCGCCGCTGAACACTCACACTGCAACACCAACGTACACAACGTACAACTAGTAGACGAAGGGATCGAAATGATGTCACATGTGAAAATAGTCGAGCCGTGGGAAGATGGACAACCCGTCCGAGTGCCCCGAGATGCCAACGTGAAACCGCACGACGGAGGCGGACCACACGATGATTTCTCGTGCGGGGTGTACGTAGACGATTTCGCTTTACTGAAAGTACAACATGCGCCAGACGACGCATCAGCGTTGGTAGCCTCCGCGTCATTAGCGTCTGACTGTGTGAGACTCTTCGGGCCAGCAGAGGCGGGCCAAACGCCCATTCTTGCCCCGAAGAAAAGCACAGACTAGAACACGAAAGTGGACTTTCTCGGACACACGATAGACACCGATAAAATGACGATCGCGACAACACGTGAGAGGATCGACGCGATAAGGACCGCGCTAGAGAACGATTGGCCACAGACCAGAGAATTCGCCAGTGTGCAAGAAGTCCTGAGTATGGCGGGAAAACTCTGGAACCTGACGTACGTCATGAGGGCGGGGAAATAGTTCGTATGGCACCTCTTACGCCTCACCGGCCTACACAACAAGAAGACTAACAGACAGTCGAGAGAGAAGCGGCAAGTAGGTTCTGGTTGGGAGTTCCACGGAGACCTAGACTTCTGGAGATGGGCGCTGGAAGTTAAACTCGCGGAGAAAGGAGATTCACTTCGCGCGTTTTTCTTTAACCACGTCCAACGCACGCCTCTCCGTCACTACCTATCGGATGCTAGCTTCGACGCGGTAGGCGGACACTGTCCCGAATTAATAGTGTTATGGTGGTATCGATTTCAACCCGCGTTTACCGCGGAGCTGAAAAGGAAAGCAGAAGCCAAAGAAACCAGAGCAATCACGATCAACACGCTAGAATTGCTCAGGATGATAATTACATGCTGGGTGGTCCAAATGGTTGTGGAAGAAAAGCCGACGCAACCCGGACAAGCTATCATGATGAGGGGAGACAACGTGTCGGCGGTATCATGGGTAAACAGATGCGGGGGCTCGAGAGAGAGGCGAGCGGGACTGCTCATGAGACTGCTAGTCGTGTGGAGATTGAAAACGGACGTGGCGAAACACATCCCGGGACGCGAGAATACCCTCGCGGACGGGATATCTAGATGGAAGTCAGAGGACGTAATAGTCAACGTGGAAAGACTCATGCACGACGATAACTGGCGAATTCAAGACATCGGAGACAACGGAAGAGAACTAATTGAAATGATATGTGGAGGACACCTGTCGGGAGTATAACCAACCATGAGTGCACGTACAAAGTGTAGGAAGATATAGCTCCATCGGGGTATCTTGTCACTGGGAGAGTGACAAGAAACGCACCGTCGGAGATTTGTCTCTTCCGAAGTCCATGGCCACTTGCCGAAAGGAGAAGCAGAGAGTCTTCGACTGTCCTCTCCCTCTGCTCTCTCTGGCCACTCTCTCTTTCTACCCTCTTCTCCTCGTTTACATATCACGAGAGGAAATAGCCTTCCCCTGGCAGTGGGATAATACTGCCAAGGCACCGGCCTCTGTCTCCGACAGTAGCCAGGGACCATATTGGCGTCGACTAGAACACGGCTCCGCCGTGACTACTGTAGCGAGGAGAGAAGAAAAAAAAGAAACGACGAGAAATGACGAAAAGCTCCTCGCAGCGCAAGAAAGAGCTTCGCGAACAAGTCAAGGAGGCGGCAGCACTGGTAGCTGAAAAAGATGCGGCGCTAGCGAACCAGGAGCGGGAGCTCGAGGAGCTGCGGCAAAAGCTCGCCGGTACTGTCCCCCCGTCGCTGTCGACCTCTACCCCACCGGGAAGGGGCACCCCCTCGGAGCGTGTGGCTGTGCAGGGTCCCTCTCGGCGAGATCGGCCCCAACAGGAGCCGATTCCCGAGGAGGCCGCGCCAGCCACCGGCGAGGAGAAAGGTGCTACCCCCGAGGGGACAGAGAACGGGAGCGACGAGGACGACAACGACGGCGACGAAGGGGAGTGGGGCAACGAGAGCGAACGGCATGTCATGTACGAGTTGCTCCACGGCTTCCGGTCACAGAACGTGTCCGCGGACGATCGGCACGCGCTCATGACCTCCGCTGGGGGCCAGTTTGCGACATGCTCTCACGCCACTGGACGGAGAAGTCCACTCCACCCGAGTGGCTGGTGTCCCTCTTCCGCCCTACCGCACCTCCCACCACCACGACTCCGGCTTCTGCAGAGGAAGTGGCTCAGGTGAATACTTCTTCGACAGCACGTA